AGAGAGAGAGAGAGAGAGAGAGAGAGAGAGACACGCTTCACTCTCCTGATACAAAATATATACCCCATAGCCCCATAGCCATACCCCCAAATGAACCATTTCCTCCTGGAACATCCCACCTGCTCCCAGTCACCACAGAGTTAATCCTATCATGGAATAGTTCACCTGTCAGGTTCAGGCCATAACCCAATCATTTTACCTTCAAACCTCACATTGTCTCACACACACGCTTTGGGGGACACCTCACATCCAAACCATAATATGAGTTCACTGTGATTTTTTAGTTATTTGTGACTCTGGCCATATTCATTCAGATCTCAGGGTCTATCATAAATGTCCCTTTACAGTAGATCCCTTTCTATGATACTTGGAGTAAATAATGTTTAATGAACTACTTCATGGGGCATGTAAATTTCAGACCTGGTGTCAATTATCCATTAAAGAATGATGCAATATTGATTGGTCATCACTGAATAAAAGGAGAGAAGAACATTATGTCAGCCTCACCAAGAATCTCAGTCATGCTGCTTGGTATCATGGAGATGAAATTTTCCATGTAAGACAGAAGAGAATAAAGATGAAATGCGTACACAAATAATGACCTAAGAGGAAACAAATTTAAAATCATAAAATATACTTGTGGTACTTCAGCAGGCAGAAGAAATTTATGTAGAAAAATACCAGTTATTTCTGAAAGTTATTCAATAAATAACAACAATCAAAAGAAAAGAGTCCTAAATACAATTTCAATTGTGTGTGAAAGATTACTTCTACATTGTTCTCTCTTCCAGTTTTCCACATGTCTATCTGCATGGCAGAACCACATTTCCATCACTATTATTTCATTCCATGTGCTAAATGAGTTTCATATAAATAGTGTAGATATGTTTATTAACAATCTTTTGTCATCTTCTTGAATTTTAGTTTGGTTTAGTCATGTTTTATTCCAATAATAATCATTAATAATATTTGCTTACTATTTGTAAATTTATTTTGCATAAATTGTCATTATTCCTATAACAGCATTGTAAAAATTATTTGTTTGATATTGATATTTTGCTATTTCCTGGCTTAATCAAAATGAAGCTAAGGATCAATGGGTTTAAGTAACATATTCAAGCACATATAGCAAATGTCAGTGAAGTTTGGACCCAGACTTCTAAAATCCTAAATATAACACTCAGTATAACATGCTGCCAGTTTTGTTTTCTGTGAACAAACTTGTAATAGAGAAAGACTAAGGTTAGGAAGAAAGGAGGTAGGAGAGGTCAACAGTATGCCAAAATGGATACAATGGAGAAAGGATAGTCTCTTTAACATAACAGTTTTGAAAAATTGGCTCTCTGCATGACAAA